CTCATTAAATCGACTTAGCGAACTTGCGGTTTCCAAGCTTTGAGAAAGGCGAAGCATGTCAATCAATCTTAATTACGTTACGTGGGAAAACCTGAAGTAAAAAAGATAGGTTGTATGTGAAGCTTTCTTTTACTTGAAGAATTCAAAATTTACTTGTCTTGAAATATTTGTTAGCTTATTTAGGCTCTAGTGTAAAGACTACCAGTATTTTGAAATGTAGCGTTTATATCAAACTGAAAGATTCCTGACTGCGCGCATTTCTTTGGTGCATGAGCCAGACAAGCCGTGATCGAGTCAATAGCCGTCGTGTACTCACGGAAAGAACTCAGGAGACGCTGTTCGCCGATTGGGCACAATAATACAAAGCATTTTTCGTGCCCAATCAGGAGCAAGCATTCGCTTGACCATTTGGAAATGGTCCGGTGAGAGTCGGTACCCAGGGGCTTTTCCGCCTGTACTTGAAAACTTTTGTCGCGCCTTTTCTCTCGGCCCGACTGACCGCCCCTGGGTCTCCGAGGATGAATGTAGCTCCGTTTGTTGAAAATATTCCCAGTCTCAGGAAATTTTTTTTTATCCAATATGGATAAGGGTTTCTACAAGAGAGGATAAAGGGGACAGAGAAGGCATCCCCCATACACACTCTATTCCATAGGTAATTCGTCTCAAGTTATTTTTAGAATCGGGATAAAGTTACCTCGCGCGCTACGTGGATGTTTCGTGGAGGTTTCGCATGACTATTTTATGTCAAGTGTTATCTTTTTGTGGTCTGACATTCTTCTACGCATAAAATTGTCAAAAAAAGTACCTCAAAAGATTCTGGGATAATTTTTATGTTAATTGTAATTTACTTTTATAATTATTATTATCATCATTATTACTATTATTACTCTAATTAGGGTTACCTTAGAGTAATTTTCCTTGATACTCATTACACAATTTTTACCGTTTATTATTATTATTATTATTATTATTATTATTATTATTATTATTATTGACATCACTCTTATTACATTATCATTGTCAATGCTATTAGGTTCATCGACAAATAGTACTTCAAGGAAACATTTCGGGAATCAAGAGGAATGTTCTATCAATACAGATGCCAATTTAGTGATAAATTGAAGTAAATTGCATGCGTAAACATTAAAGAAATTTATTTCTAGACCTTCGTACAACTTGCCATTACAACGCCTTGATGAGTTTAAACGTGATGGCTTAACCTCATCATAGGGACATATCACAAGAATAATAAGTTCCCATATTGAAAACTTCAATGTATACAATCATCAGGTTGAATAAAACATAAAACTTACAAAGTACAGTAACATTTGCAACAGCTGTAGCAGGACTCTCCACTCCATTGCTGGCTGCACACTGATACTGGATTGTGTTATTAATTGTATCGTTTCTGTTCAGAATCCCAGTATTGAGTATTGCATTGTAAGAAAGAGCTCCCAAACTGCCATCTTTCGTCCATGTAAGGGTGGGGTTAGGTTTACCAGTTGCATTACAGTACAACGTTATACTCTCCCCCTCCACTACAGTGGCTGCTGTTTTGTTCACTTCTACGAATGGAGCATCTGCAAGATAACAACTTTTGTTCAGTAACAAGTACATTAACGGAATTAGGCTGATAGAAACTTAACAGAATAACCTTACAGGAAGAGAACAGAAACCAAACGGCCCAATGGGTGAGGCACATGCTTATGCGGTGTCTTTGTCCGCAATCCACTCACCAACAACAACGACGCTGACTGTAGCATTGTCTCCTTCACCAACCTCGTTGATAGGAACACAAGTGAAAACGCCATCGTCCTGAACAGGGTAGTTTAACACACCCGAGGCGTCATTTCCAATATGTCTTCCCTCATAGTAAAAGAAATACATATTGGCAGCAGGATTAGCATCTGTATTGCAGTCAAGCGACACAGTAACACCACGCAACACTGTGGTGTTAGTTGGCATAGTTGTCAATGTTGAAGCTGAAGGGCGATCTATACCAAAAAAATGGACACGTTATAAGTTAAAACTTCACTAGCACCCAGGAAAAACAAGGGTACAACCAACGTTAATTATCAGTATCGTAATCCGCCATTTAACACGTAATGATGGTTCCCTAGGGAAACAGTAAATTTTGTTTCCTGAGAATGTCAATGTTTCCTGAGGCGAAGTCTAGGGAAATATTAAGATTCGAGAGAAAAGAAAATAACTGTTTCCCAAGGGACCAGTATTTAAGTGACTTTTTATATAGCAGGAAGTTTGAAGATGAAAATTCATTAAACCTCGCTGTAACGGCGGTCGTGGGTGAACATTCGCGGTTAACAGTGCAGTTACCCTCTGGCGACATAGATTTTGCAATGTTTCCTTGCAGTACAAGTAAACTAAAAGAAATGAGACGTTACATTCCCACTGAATGTCAGTCCCGTAAACGGAAATCAAGGAAGCACGCAATTCGTACCATTTTGTTTAAGAATTATAGCGCATGTTTTTTTCTCAAAGCGCAATAACTCACAGTAATGTTATTATTAGTACTGATTATGATACTAAGTTTAACAGTGGTTCGATATATAGAGGCAAAAAGGTGAGAAACAGTTGTATTTAACACTTTGGCGTTCACTTTTCATCTGATACGCACCCCCGTTCTGGAGGTCTTATTCTCTTGAACTCGTCATCACCGGAATACTACGTACCTTGATTGCGATTTATACAATGATGTGTATGCTACGCGAGCTATGATTGGTCGTTGCCCATGATCTATCAGAGTACAGATACATGGATGACGTCAGGGGAAACTTGCTTTCTTTGTTTTGTTCAACATCGCGCGCGGTTTTGAAAATGTTTGTGAGATTATTTCGGATTAGAGCAAGTGAAAGCCTCAAAAAAGGTTTAGCAGGAACTATTTACAAAGAAGAAAAATGGAGAAAGCGAGACAAAAAGAGCTCTTGACTACTTGAGAATGCCTAAACTACAACAGATCTTCACGACAGTTGCCATCGTGTGTCATCGCTACGAGAGAATCGCTGTTTTGCAAAATGTTTTCGCCATTATTCTGCTTTGAGCAAGAAAACGTTCGATGAAACTGTATGCAAGTAAGGTAAAGAAAAAAAGAAGAAGCAGAGAGGAAAAGTAGCATTTGGGACTTTAAAAATTACTAAACTAGCACAAATCCTCGAACAGTCAAGAGGTACGAGGCAGGTATGTCTATCAGTCTTTTTTCTTTTCTAATCATTGTATAAAACAAATAGATTCCATTTTGCCGTGGGTCTGTTCGGTAATAGATCACAGAGGACGTCAAAATGTGGTAAAAACATCGTGTGTGCCACGTCTTTGTGTTTACCACATTTTGACGTCATCTGTGATCTATTACCGAACAGACACACGGCAACATGGAATCTATTTGTTAATTCTACTTTACAGGAAAACAACAAGATTTTTCTAGGGGTGCTAAAGACTCAGAAAGGTCAATATATACGTCAGGTGTCCTCCGACGGTTTGGCCGCTCATTTATGTCGAGAGAACAGACATACGAACTGTAGTCTGTCCTGGCTATCCATACTAAACACCCTGAGCACCTGCGTTAAAGAATCAGTACGATGTATGTTGTTTGTATGTCTCACACTATACCCTGTGCATGCAAACAATACTTACAGTGGACAGTAATATTTGCAACAGCTGTAACAGGACTCTCCACTCCATTACTCGCTGTACACTGATACCGGATTATGTTATTGATGGTATCGTTTCTGTTTAGGATCCCAGTATTGAGTATTGAATTGTTAGAAAGAGGTCTCGGATTGCCATCTTTCGTCCATGTAAGGGTGGGGTGAGGTTTACCAGTTGCATTACAATACAACGTGATACTCTCCCCCTCCACCACAGTGGCTGCTGTTTCATTGATTTCTACCACCGGAGCAACTGAAAATAGTTATTACATTAGCTTAGCAACGGCAATACACTGAACAAAATATGTTCAAAACGTGACGGGACAACAAAGCTGCCCTAACAGATAAGGTATAATGTAAACCGCTGAATGAATCAATGCATGTGTGGTCTGTTTACTGACTCACCAACAACAGTGAAGTTGACGGTAGCATTGTCTCCTGTGCCAACTGCGTTGATTGGAACACAAGTGAACAATCCATCGTCCTCAACAGTGCGATTGAACACACCTGAAGAACTGCTCTCTAACAAACTTCCTTTAAAGTAAAAGTGATACATATTGGCAGGAGGACTAGCGTCTGTAGTGCAGGTAAATGACACATTAGATCCACGCAGCACTGTGTAGTTACTTGGAATAGTTGTTATTGCTGAAGAAGAGGGTCGATCTACGGTTGAAGAACATACAAAGGAAACAAAATGATGAAAATGTATCACTTCACAATATACACCAAGGTTGTAAGATGCAAATTGCATTTTAATCTTGCCATATAATAATATGGAAACCAAGAAATAGCAACAAGTAGGTATATACGGACTAAAGTAGTCATATTCAAAAAAATAAAAAAGACATTCGAAAAACCAGGACCAGCAATCTCCCATTTCATTATAAGTAAACTGATTTGCTATTCCAAGCGTTTTTATTTATAAAAAGTTACTTTGTTCAGGTTTGTTGTGCGAGACTGATGAAGGAATCCACTATTTGTAGATACTGAGTGGACACTAAATTCATATTTACCCGTAAGCAAGCAAAGACGTTCATCACTGATATTTTGGTCTAACGTAATACAACAGCAAGTTGGATCCTGTAATTGACAACTTAGGCGAATGTAGCTCATACTTACAGTGGACAGTAATATTTGCAATAGCTGTAGCAGGACTCTCCACTCCATTACTCGCTGTACACTGATACCGGATTATGTTATTGATGGTATCGTTTCTGTTTAGGATCCCAGTATTGAGTATTGAATTGTTAGAAAGAGGTCTCGGATTGCCATCTTTCGTCCATGTAAGGGTGGGGTGAGGTTTACCAGTTGCATTACAATACAACGTGATACTCTCCCCCTCCACCACAGTGGCTGCTGTTTCATTGATTTCTACCACCGGAGCATCTGAAAATAGTTATTACATTAGCTTAGCAACGGCAATACACTGAACAAAATATGTTCAAAACGTGACGGGACAACAAAGCTGCCCTAACAGATAAGGTATAATGTAAACCGCTGAAAGAATCAATGCATGTGTGGTCTGTTTACTGACTCACCAACAACAGTGACGTTGACGGTAGCATTGTCTCCTGTGCCGACTGTGTTGATAGGAACACAAGTGAACAATCCATCGTCCTCAACAGTGCGATTGAACACACCTGAAGAACTGCTCTCTAACAAACTTCCTTTAAAGTAAAAGTGATACATATTGGCAGGAGGATTAGCGTCTGTAGTGCAGGTAAATGACACATTAGATCCACGCAGCACTGTGTAGTTACTTGGAATAGTTGTTATTGATGAAGAGGAGGGCCGATCTACAATACAAATAAATGTCATTAAACAAAGAAATTACAAGTGATGTATACAATCATTGTTCTTTTCAATAAAAAGGTGTAAAGAATCAAAGACAGGTGATTTCAGAAAAGTATTTTTTCCTGAAGAGAAGAAAATGATTAAGCCAGAGTTAAAATATCCTGTTAAGATGGCCTGTATATCGAGCTTGTGGTCATCCTAAGTCATAGTTGTTAATGATTTACTGAATAAAGCACCGGTTAAATAGTGATGAGATAGTGAAGATTAGACTCAGAAATTCATTGTGTTAGTTGGTTGCGGGTTAATTTTCTTATTAGACAGACATACAGTTACACTTTTCACCAGGTGAAACTATTCTAAGGCCAGAAACAGTGCAGAAACAAGACTGTTTTTAAAAGTCAACAAGCATTAGAACGTCCTCCTCGGAGAGTTAAAAAACGGGTTTCCCAATATTAGTAATGCACAAATGTAGATGACACAAGCAGACCAATCGTGCAAACGAAAAATCTTCACAATTTTACCCGAGCGTTATTTTCACGAGCAGTAGTAAAAGACTGGGTAATTACTGTGTAATTCAAGTGTAAAAAATGTAATGGCTTAAATCACTGACTCATACCTGATAACATGATAAAGATCCAGGGCTCTAATAACTTTAGGACTTGACCTCAGAAGAAGCAACAGACGGCTACCTGTTTTCTTAGCGTTTTGCGGAGAATGACGCTAAGACTCATTTACATCTCCACAGCACGGAAATGTACTTTTCTTAAAGTAAGCACGACACATTTACTTTACATGTAAAGCGCAGTATAAAAAAAACTTCTCCTTTTGGTGAAAAATTCGAACTACACACATGCCCGAGGTAGGTTACACTAAAAGCCTTGCCGCCTTTCCGGGTGAAATTTCTGACCCTAAAACAGGTCCACCTGGTAAAAAATTCCATTGCCAACGAACAAAACTATTACTCCTCCGGTTGAGAAAGAACTATGGACTACCATTCCTTTCAAAACATCAAGTCATCAAGGCACCGCTGGATCCCGGATATCGATCTTTCATCGACATCAGGTATGAGAGATTTGGAGAATCGAAGGTATACACTTACAGGAATCCGACAGTGTAATACGAAAGCTATCTTTAAAGGAATTGTTGTCAAATTTAAAGCGAGAGCTCCTTTTGTTTTAAGGCGAAACAACTACAATTAGATGGATTCAGCACCATGATTCACGACAAATAAAGGTATACGACTCAGGCCTGTCAAATGTTGCTCATTTTTGGTCGGTCGCCTTTTTTTATAATTGGTGACGCAGTAGATCTTCTTCAACACTACATTAACTGTCGGACCGTATAAAAGAGTCTGACGAAAACCAGTCACGTGTGACGTAAATTAAATTTTAGGGACTCCCTGCCCTATTCCTTCCGTTTGTTTCGTGTACGTCTGTATAGTATTGAACATTGTTAAATAACATTTACATGAAAAAAGTGACTTACATTCAATTAATTCTTATTCTTACTTAGTACCCTTTTTTCTTCAAAGTAACATTATTATTATTTTTTATTGTAATTATTATCATTATTATTATTATTATTATTATTATTAACTTAAATGATTATAATTATCACTCTTATTGTTATGTCATTTTAAATTTAATCAAAATTTAGAAAGAATAAACGGAAGCGTAAAAGACCCAGCCTACACTTCTATGTTGGAATAATAAAAAACAACACAGAAAAATTGAAATAAAACAGATACTTAAAAAAATGAGAGAACATAAGCAACAGTTGCAGTTAGTGAGATGTAATAAACATAACTCAATCAATCGCTGATCCTCAAGCAGCCAAATAGGTAAAATGGCTGAGTGAAATGGGTAGCTCAGTGCAAAATGAAAAAAAAAAAAAGAAAGAAAGAAAAAAGAAAATTAAGGGAGAAAGGGAGGGGGGCTGGGTGGTTGTTCCATTTTTCCACTCCGTTCCTTTCTTCTTGTTGTCCACCAGAAGAGCTTCGTGATGCCGACATACAGTACATGTAGTTTCTTAGTTTGGTACTTAGGAGTTAGGTAATAGTTTTAAGTAGATTTTCCTTATTGGTTTAGTTAATTTCAAGCTGAAAACTACAAATAGGCAGACCCATTAAAAATTCTTCATAGACAAAAGCAAGATAAAAGACAATGAATGATTTTCCAGTAATGTGCGCACAGGATTGTGGGATCGCCAGGGGGCAAACATTGCAAGTCGCTACAAAGAAATGTATGGCGTGGAGCTGTTTCTCAGTGAAAAGCAGTGTCTTTGGACAGAGAATGCCGCATTTTGCCGAGATTTTATGAGAAGCAGAGGTGACTAATGTTGGTGCTTTGAAATTGTAAGTTTTTTAGACTGTTTACAGTCCCCTATTTTTTCGTGAGATAGTTTAGATATACCGCGTCTTTCCGTCACGGCTATCTTGATTTTCAAATGTACCGAGGGGGCGGGCGTCGGGGATTATAGCTCTAGGGGGGGGGGGGGCGAGAAAAATAGAAGGACTGTAATAACATCACTGCAGCTCGCGTTCACGGAGCGCGTTGTACCAGCAACCCAGGCGTTTGATTGGTCATTAGACAATAGATATTAATTTGCGTTGACAACGGGTTTAGTTTAAGTTGCCGACACTGACAAGTCGTTGACAAGTCGACGTTTCTATAAAACGTACGCTTTCATACCATAAGGCACATCTTGTGCAAACACACGAAGGATTTTTGGTATTTGATTAGAAAAATGTTTTCTTGCGTATGTTTGCCGATTTTATTTCGAGGAATGGCCTAGAAACATTATAAAATCACTGTTTCGAAAGGAGATATTTATAAACACGAGTAATCGATGCTAAATGTGTCTGGCATGTTTTTCATCACAAGCGGAGTTTCTTAATTAATGAATGGTAGAAGGCGTGAAATTCCTGTCACGCCTCCTGAACGCGAGCTGCAGTGATGTTATTACAGTCCCTCTATTTTTCACGCTTCCTCCCAAACCGCCCCCGCCCCTAAGTAGTTTTGACACTCATGCAAGATGGCAGCCTGAAACGCAAAGCGCACGATCTCGACGATCGTACGGGAAAATAGAGGACTGTGAACAGTCTATAAGTTTTTGTGGGATCAATGCTATGAAATCTATCGATAAACACTCCTTGCGTAAGGTCGACTGTGAAATTTACTGAATGGTCTCGAAATATATAGTACTAACTTAGGTATAAATGACCGGGAAATGCGGACTCATTTAAGCCTTTCCAGTTGTACTTACATGTGCTCATATTTACAATGAGTGTAATTACGCTCCGATCGGCGGCAATCACAATGCTGTGCTGTGCCGGTTAGTAACAACAATCGAAGGTAAGGTTATGTATTGTCGGATTTGATATGTATTAACTTTAAAACAAAACATCTTCCCCGCATTAGTATATTGATTTCTTCTTGCCAAAAAAAACACAAGCGAAATGTTTTGCCATGATCCAGAGCACTGATGAGTTGTAATGCCTTTTCCAGTCATTTTCAGTAGGGAAGATATAGAATATCTGAATTTCGCACATCAACTTGGTACTTTTTTACACACTCTGACTGCTTTTGTATCAGAAATCTTACTCGTTCGTATGATTTCTGCCTCATCTACTAATGGTTAAATACTATGTACTTTCCATGAAATATTTTGTAGATGTCACTTTGTTTATACCAAAGTAAAGGAGGATTTTTTACTTTCATGGCCTCGTACACACCTACGATTGTTGTCTTGTCATATTAAACCGCACAGCGCTGATCGCGGCCGAGCGTAGTTACACTCGTCGTAAATTTCACCACACGTAATTATAACTTAAACGCTTAAATGAGCCAATCCCCCTACATGTATACCTAAATTTGCACTATATATCTCGAGACCTTTTCTTCATGTAGATCACTGTGTAAATTCTGTAAACATAAATTTCAGACTCAACCTCACGCAAGGAGTGTTTGTCGATAAAATTTATCTTATTAATCACACAGAAACTTGAAATTTCAACGCACCAACATTAGTCACCTCGGTTTCTCATAAAATCACGGCAAAATGCGGCATTTTATGTCCAAAGACACTGCCTTTAACGGAGAAACAACTCCACGCCATACATTTCTTTTTAGCGACTCGCAATGTTTGCCCCCCTGGCGATCCCATTATCCTGTGCGCAAAACAGGGGTCTCCGATTACTGGAAAATCATTCATTTTTCACTACTGTGACTCACACTTTCATATAGTTCGACGTCTTTTATGTTCACCCAAATGCAATACATATAATGCAGAAATGGTGGAGTCATGGACACAAGTGGCGAGGAATGAAACAATTCTTTCTTTGCCAATCTCCACCCTCACGCGCTCTTTTGGCTTTTGTAGGTGTTTCTCGGTGTTGCAAAGATCATTTTCTTTTTCTTTTCTTTATTTTTTGGAGTGTGCGGGAGGATTATTTAGCGAATAGTGGCTAATGCTTGACCTAGCCCCTTAAATTGTCAATAGTCAGCTTATATGTTATCGGTAAAGAAGTTAGGTCCAGTTCATAACTCGTGCTTCTACAGTGCCGAACTTCAGCCAAAGGCATGGCAGAAACACGACTTCTGAATAAACATTTTGAGTTTGGTTCGGTAGAACAATTAAATTCGACAAGGTCTGCCGTGCTACACGACTTTTGATGGCAGTAATTCAAATATCTCGTACTAAATTCATAAATTATGACAATGTGATTCCGGAAATGTGAAAGATCTCCCCTATCATTTGAAAGATCTCCCAAATTTCTCCTTCCCACGCTAACTAAAACGACATCTATTTATTAGACAATTTGAAAGTTGACCATATCCGTCTTTTTCTCCATACAGTGTATAGTGTGTGTGTTATTTACTTACCTATTTTGTTTGTTTGTTCTTTGCTGCTATTTCAAAAAAGAGTTGAGTTCGGCACGGCAGAAGCACGACATATAAACTGAGCCTTTCTTTCACGCATTGACAAAGGGAAGTGTTTAAGTGATACTTGTACATTTCATATGAAGGAGAAAAGAGAGCTTAATGAGCAGACGAAGGGTATCGAAGGGTTTTCACATGATTATAAAACAAATCAGTTTTTAATAAAAGCCCAATTTGCCACTTTGTCATGCACCAGGGTTGGTCGCTTACGAGAGAGGTGAACGTATTTTTATGTAGGGTATCAGTTGTTATCGTTCGACCACATTGCCTTGCGCTTATTCTAAAAAATTACAATAAACAACAACGAGTTTGTTACAAAAGAAAAGCAAGGAAGCTTTGTTCGAGTAAACAACACTATAATTTGTCCCACTTCATTTTGAGTTATCATTTGCTTGACCTCTCTAACAATAATTGTCAAACCAAGATTAAATTTTGCTTTTGTTCTACATATCTAAAGAGACAGACTTTAAAATGCATATAGGTCCCAATATGTTGTTTATAATGTACATAATAGTGGACAAAACCTGCACTGTAAACCAGACTGCAAGCTGTGGGCAGCAGCTACCTTCCACTGGATTTTTAAATTTAGACTCTATTGCTAGGGAGAGCCTTAAAGATTGGGTATTGTACCCTTTAGAATAGGGTAACAATACCAAAAATAGGGAATAGGGGTAGTGGGTCAAACATCAACCCAAAACGTACTGGCCATAGGGTGGGTTAGAGATAGATATTTAGATATATTCTTGGTAAAGGATTGTAAAAGTATAACCAATCTACAGTTATTTTTCTAGCAAAGAAGCATTAAACACCAAGAGAAAGCTCCATTTGCTGAATGAAATTTGTAGGCAACTACATGTAGTGCTCAAAACCTTTGAGCTAAAATTTGTTATCTCAATAAAATCTTCTATTCAATAATAAATGCAACTTACAGTACACATCAATTTCACAGGTCTGTGTGCCATTTCCGATCTCATTTGATGCATGACATATATAGATGCCTCTTTGACTCCTTGTAATAGCTGTTATCACAAGAGTCTTGGTAGGCGACTCAATATTTCCTGAACTCGCATTGATCCATGCAAAATTAGGCACAGGGTAACCAGTAGCGTTGCAATAAAGAGTCGCATTATGACCCTCAGTAACTGGAGTGGGACATCGTTTGAATGTCACAGTTGGTTTAACTGAAGGATACAAACATAAAATTAGTCGATACAATAGTATCGTAAAATTCCGTAAAATAAGCCCCCCCAAACTCGTAACGCAAAAAACCTTCCTTTAAATCGCCCCTCCAGATACAAGCCTCAAGGGACTCGTACCTGGAAATTGCCCTTAAATTTAAAATACAAGCAAGCAAAAACTGTACATTGACAAAATAATTTTGCATTTCTCATAGAACTATTAAGTGTGCTAATGATTGCGGTCAAAAAGTGTCACAGTATATTGCTGTTTGCGTAGTTAACTCTTAACTCTTGGCTTGTATTTCCTCATTCCATATAGACAATTTACTTGCACGGCTGAGTTTTAGTAAGATCTACATGTACGTCCTCAAGGCGAGTTTCAGTTGAAATTTCTGCTAATAACTGGCATAAATTTCCTTGCAACTATAAGCTAGCCCAATCGATTTTGAAACGCAAATTTCCCTCCGTATATAAAGCCCCTCCAAAAATAAGCCCCTCAAAAAAGGCCTTTGAAAAATATAAGCCCTGGGGCTTATTTTCGGAATTTTACGGTATTATTTCTACAGTTGTGCGTTTACCATGTTTTGTAATTACATGCGCACACATAGATGCAACAAAACGTGTTTGTAGTGAACCGTCATGTTGTTTGGGTGCGTTCTCGGATCTCTCGTCAGTACATGAAAATTTTGGCGACGAGGATGGGATCTTACGGGATATTTTACTGCGAAAAAGTGAAGACATTCCTGAACAAGATCAACACTACGTTTCAAGATGACAATCGAGTCTGATGCGGCAGCAAATCCGGTTCGTAACATCAGGAAAGTTCAGAAGTTCACAGTGGGAGCTGACTTCGAGGCGTACGCAGAACAGCTATAATTCTTCTTCGTGGCCAATGGAGTGACCAACTCGAAACAGAACAAAGCCGTCCTGTTAACTGATCTTCCCACTGAAACGTACCAACTGGCCCCGATATCGTTAAGAGAAGATTCTCTCACGTACGACACGATCGTAGAGCGTCTCTAAAAGCAATTGAAGCCCCAGAAATATGCCTTAGTCGCCAGGTATGAGTTTGACAACCGAGCGCGTAACGCAGGAGAAACGGTGAGTCAGTATGTCCTTGATGCCACGCGTTTGCAAAGGTTTCGGGTATTCGAGATACATGTAAGAGAATGATGTCAGAGTTCTTGAAACTCAAACTCGAGCAACTGACATTTGATGTTGCTGTAGCGAAGTGCATCGCTATTGAGCAATCTTACAAGGATGTCGAAGCTCTTGGGGGGGGGGTAAAAAGAGTCAAACCCAGTCGATATGTTAGCCAAGTCAAGGCCAAGCAAGAAGCCTAAACCTAAGAAAGAAGTTACGACTTCAGAGAAAAAGGGTTCCCCATCCACCAAAGATTAAAGTTGCTACCGCTGTTCGGGAAATCATGATCATAAAAGTTGTCCCTTCAAAAAGGAAAAATGTCACCACTGTAACAAGACCGGCCATATTGTGAGGGCTTGTAAATCCAAGAAAAGGGAGACACAAGCTGCCTAACCCCCAGTAAATTTTGTGGACACTGATGACGGGGACAGCGATGATTATTTGGGATTCCTTGAGGTTAATAACGTGAGCGACAAGGAACACGTCATATGGGTCAGCCCCGAAGTACAGGGAAGGGTGGTCAAGATGGAACTAGACACAGGTTCAGCTGTGTCTGTACTCCCATACAAACAGTATAAGAAACATTTTTGGTCATGTGAAACTTGCAAAGAGCCCTGTAACGCTTAAAACCTACACTGGGCAGAAAATCACACCTAAGGGAGAGATGAAGTGTAATCTTAAGTTCAAGGGCCAGGAAAAGGAGTTAACACTACAAGTGGTTGAGACACCGGAGCCAGCATTGTTTGGGCGTGACTGGCTCTTGAAAATTCAGCTGAACTGGGGTGAAATCAAAGCCCTTAAGCTTAGCAAGACTCTGGAAGGGGTCGTGCAATGCAAAGTGGATCAGTTGTTGCAGCAGTACGACTCTGTATTTTCTGAGGGCGTGGGCACACTTAAAGGCCACAAGGCTGATTTGAAGGTCGAGGAGGGCTGCCAGCCTAGCTGTCATAAGCCACGCCAAGTTCCATATGCACTCCGCCCCAAGGTAGAAGCAGAATTGACACGTTTCGAGAAGGACGGTATTCCTTCTAACGTAGAATACAGTGAATGGGCTACCCCGATTGTCCCAGTAGTTAAGCGAAACGGATCAGTGTGTGTGTGTGGTGACTTCAAGGTTTCAGTCAATCCAGTATTTCTTGCAGAACAGTATCCTCTGCCGCACATATAGGATATTTTTGCGAATTTGGCTGGGGTTAAGCATTTTAACAAACTTGACCTGCGCCAAGCTAATCACCAGATGGAAGTAACAGACGAATCCAAGAAATTCCCTACGATCAATACACACAAGGGCCTCTTCCAATACAATCGCTTAGTTTTTGGCATTTCTTCGAGGTATTACAGGGAATACCAGCACCCAGTGTATCCTGGATGACATAATCGTTTCGGGCAAAACCAATGAAGAGCATTTGGAGAACCTAGAGAGCATGCTCAAGCAACTACAAGATGCGGGTCTGAATGCCAACAAGGAGAAGTGTGAGTTCTTCAGGGATAGAGTTCAGTTCTGAGGGCATAAGATCGACAGAGAAGGTCTCCACAAGACACAAGAGAAGATCGAGGCAGTAGTTAGCGCACCTAGACCTGAGAATGTGTCACAGCTTTGCTCATTTTTAGGGCTCCTTAACTATTACAACTGCTTCTTGCTTAATGTGTCCACAGTTCTCCACCCACTTCACCAGTTGTTAGAACAATGCAGTGAATGGCAGTGGACTGAACAGTGCGAGCAAGCCTTCACCGAGGCTAAGCGCATGATTACATCTGAGCAGGTGCTAACGCATTACGATCCAGTGTTACCAGTTAGGCTTGCATGTGATGCTTCACCAACCGGCATCGGTGCAGTTCTTTCACACCTCATGCCTGATGGCAGCGAAAGGCCGGTAGCTTTTGCATCCCGATCGTTGACCAAGACAGAACCCAAGTATGCACAGATTGACAAGGAGACATTGTCCATTGTGTGGGGTGTGAAACGGTTCCATGTATGCCTCTAGGGGAGGCGATTTACGCTCATTACAGACCACAAGCCCCTCACTGCCATTTTCCACCCAGAAAAGGGAGTTCCTACCATGACCGCTTTGAGACTCTAGCGATATGCATTGTTCTTGGCTGGTTTCGATTACAGGATAGACTATAAGAGTACGACCGAGCACTGCAATGCTGATGGACTGTCTTGGCTCCCCCTCCAGCAGAAAGGAGGGTGAAGAGATGGGAGTGGATTCGTCAGAGGTGTTCCACGCATCCCAGTTTCTGCCACTACCTGTAACTAGTGAAGCAGTTGCTAGAGAAACACGTCGTGACCCAGTCCTGGCAAGGCTGCACGAGTCTATTGTGAAAGGATGGTCTGCTCGCGTAGATGGAGACAAGCCTTACTATGGTTCACCAAGGTTGCATTCTATGGGGAATCCCCAATAGGCTCCAAGACAGAGTGTAGGACGGGCATCTGGGTGTGGTAAAGATGAAAGCACTAGCGAGGAGCTACGTCTGGTGGCCTAATATCAATGGCCAACTGGAAGAACTAGCGAAAGCCTGTAGTGGGTGTCAGCAAAACCAGAAGATGCCTACTAAAGCACCACTGCATCGGTGGGAGTAGGCCACTGCACCATGGCAACGCATACACATCAACTATGCCGGCCCGTTTCACAACTCCAAGTTCTTAGTGGTTGTCAATGCACACAGCAAGTGGCCGGAAGTGTTTCCGGTTAGTTCCACCACTTCCAAGTTCGACCATCGAAGTCCTACGCAATTTGTTCGCCAGATTTGGAATTCCTGAACAGATCATTAGCGACAATGGTGCACAATTTGTTTCTGAGGAGTTCCAGGCATTCGTCAGGTCCAATGGCATCCGTCATATAACATCAGCGCCATACCATCAGGCTACAAACGGTCGAGCGGAGAGGGCAGTACAAACCTTCAAGCAGGCATTACGTTCCATGCATCAAAGCTCTACGCCAGTGAAGGCGAAGTTGGCAAATTTTCCCATAGCTTATAGGAACACTCCTCACTTCACTATCAGTGTGAGCCCAGCACAGTTACTCGTTGAAAGACGGTAGCACACTTGTCTAGATTTGGTGAAACCCAACTTGAACCGTAATATGGTTAACCAACAGCACCAGCAGATCATCAGGGCCGCGAATGAGAAGGGTAGACAGCGTCGTCAGTTAGAGGTTGGTGACTCGGTGATTTCACAAGATTATCGAGGGGATCTGAAGTGGCGTTAAGGGCTGATTGTCAACAAGACAGGTCCACTGATTTACGAGGTGCAGGTGGCACCAGGGGTTATTTGGCGTCGACATGTCGACCACTTGAAGCCAACAGCAGTTGAGCGCGCAGTTGAGGTCACTGACATCGACACTGACACAGCACACCACCAGCGCCAATCCAACTGAGTGCTCCACCTAATGTGGTTGGTACAGTTCCAGAGATTCCCATGGCAGATCAACCGGAGATGGTTCCTGTTCCCACACCTATAGTTCCCGATCCTTCTGAAGCGACTCTAGTCAGTCCTATGGTCCATGAGGGGCGGTACCCTCAGAGAGTGCGCAGGGCAAAACAGAGACTGGACCTCTGAACTGTTTTTCTGTTTTTCTTAGAAACTGCACGTTACCGTACACTGTTAGTCGATTTAGTTGTTTCCTTATGATTGTATCTTAGGCTCAGTTACAAACTAGGGACGGATCATTTTTGTGTGGAGGAAGTGTTATGGTCTCCCTGTGCATTTACCATATAATTATAGTAATCACATGCACACACATAGATTCAATAAAACGTGTTTGTAGTGAACCGCCATGTTGTCCGGGTGAGTTCTCGGATCTCTCGTCAGTACATGACAATAGTCAACTCTCTTAAATGACACCTCTATAAAATGGACACCTTGCTAAAACAGACACCTCGAGTTGGCCCCTATTCTTAACTCCTCCTAGATGGACATATCCCTAAGACAGACACATATTGCAAGACACAATCTTAGAGAGAGTTGACTGTACGTTCCTTTTCTTATTCTGTTGCGAAACGAAAACAAATGGTTCTACACAAAGCACGGAAATCAGTCACAGTTCTCCACATGGCAGCAATACAAAATGGCCTTTAAAATCATTTTGAAATGTTTTTAACGGTGATTTTGTGAACAAGTAAAATAGGTAATGGTTTTTAAAAGAAACTTTAATAAGGCGTGAAAACAGGTTTTTTAGGTACTGTAATGGTAAGTAGTTGTTATGTTAATGCTCACGCACTGGACCAGAATCAAGACAGGTCTGTAACACACTGTTTGTTGAGCATAAACTGTTGAACTGTACGTGTCACTTATACTAGTGCAAACCACTGTGACAGCTGAACAAGAAACTGTACTTACACTTAACATGAATTGTCGTAGTCTTTGAGTCATTCCCACAGTCATTACTAGCTTCACATCTGTAGTCTCCAGCTTCGCCCCTGTTAATATTCGTGAGTGCTAACACATGACCATCAAAGCGTTGACCAGTGCTGATTCTCACCCATGACACGACTGGCGGAGGAGTACCAGATGCATTACAAGAGAGATTCAAGTTTTCCCGTTCAGTTGTTGTCGCGTTCAGTAAGGGCTGGATGGTTGAAGCCTCTATAAAAAATAACAACAACAAAAGTAAAGCCTCACCTGGGTTTCTGTAGCATGACTCACCTACAGACACTGTAAGAATATTGTAGTAAGCCCCCTGGATGGGATGCTACTCCATCACAGGGTTACCCTCAACTCTTTGTCATCACCGGTACAATTGGGTGGCCAGGCCCCGGTTCCTTAAAAGATGGTTAAGTTTAACTCAGGATTAAGCCAAATTTTAAGCAAAGTTTTCTCGTCTTAGAACATGTAACTGAAGCTTAAAAATTCTGTTTTGCCTTTACTTTGAAAAAAGAGAAATGATAACACACAATGTTACCCTAAGCAAGGCATAGGAAGATAAACACACAAAGTGGAACGAAATTTTAATCCTGGAATAGTGCTAATCGGCCTTTCAGGAACCAGGCCCAGATGAAAAAATGGAGTAAATATCTTCTTGGGTGAGGTACACTTGTATGTAGGTACGTACATAACTATATACGTAAAGGTATGCTTTTTGTGCCATTTTGGTTTTGAAATTGGGTCAGATTTTAATTGTTTATGTTTAAATTAGGTCTAGGCCTTGGGCTCACTGAAACCAGGGCTTTTTGTAGTTTAAAGCAAAGCCTGAACCTAGACCTACAGATCCAAAGTTTGAAAGATAAAGAATGCATAAATACGAACCAATAATAATGATTTAGCCAAGCCTAAAAAACGAAGCTTCTGTCTAGAATATACTTAAAATATAATCAATAAACTTTAAGCCATTACAATACTCAAATTGATTAGCCTGCGAAAACATCCGTTTCACCTTGCTCTTTGCCGCTGGGGACGTTTCGCGCGGAGGAACGTCTGCGACTCAGCAGCAGAAATTCCATACTGATGACGCAAATCAGTGTTTACATAATAATTTCGGTTGTCATGGGGTTCGAAATATACATTTGTCCAATTTTATGTGTCTTCTGGTCGATTTTATTAAAGAGTTGTGTTCATCTGCCAACGAGCTCCAGCGAAACTCAAACGCTTCTTCCAGGGAAGACTCTATTCCACAAATATTGACTGTTTTGTTAGAGATTCTTCGCGTTTACCTGTACATTTGACCTTTGTGGCCTTTTGTCTTTTGTCTGTCATTCGTAAACAAAAACTAAAACAATGTAACTACTCCGTCAACCAATCAGCGCTTCTGACAGGTTTCCGGACAGATTTTACGTCATCAGCATGGAATTTCTGTCGCTGAGTCGCAGACGATCCTCCGAGCGAAACGTCCCAAGCGGCGAAAAGCGAGGAGAAACGGATGTTTTTGCAGGCTACAACTTGAGTGGCCCCCCATTTAGATTTTAAAGTAAAGTCAAGTAAAGGTTTGGTGACTTGCCAACAGTCTGATATTTGCAGCAAAATTGATTGCAGTGAGTCAAGTTCAATCAAAGTAGTAATATATTCTAATATATTTAGAATATAACTCTTGCCTGAAGTACATCACCAGCCCTTTCCTCTCTCCTACACATGACCAAGTTCTCAGCAAGCTCTTGCCTAGTTGCCAGGCCTCATTATCCCGGGAGGACAAAGCGTTTTGGGTCACGTGGAAAAGCAAACATGTTTCCCGCCCGTTCGCCTCAGATACGTCACCCAAGCGAATTGACCGAGAGGTACTGGGAAAATGTCGTACAGGTACTGGGTAAAGCAAGCCCCTAAATTTAATGTTGTATTTGGCTACATAAGGACTCATGGCTACATTCATTATTTATACTGCAGGGGGGAGGCAAGGACGATTTTGAAGAGGCTGTCTCAGTAAACACCGCCCACTCAATTTCGCGTGAAGAATAATTTTGCCTGAAACTCTGGCAAGTGAAAGGCTTTATTAAGGCTATAACTAAAATAGTTTTGCTTTGATTCAAAATAATACCTTGTATGTTTTGTTTTCCAAATACAGGCCACGTAATGTTCTCCAGGGAATTTGTCTTTTGTCTTTTCATTAATTATGTATACACAGGCAAGTGGATGCACATGCATAAGACGAAATTTGAAACAAAAAACAGTCAGCATTATGTGGTCTGTAATGGGAAAAAAACTTACAAGCTAAAACCGTCTATTGTCTGGTCGCGCTGAGTATTTTGTCCCACGACAGCCAGTTTGCACGTCTTGAAAACTGAAAGTTTTATTTACTTGGCTCCTGGTACAAAAGGTTTTTCTGACGTTTGGGACCTAGTTGAATGTTCTAGACCAAATAGTCCAAAAGATAGATCAACTGTTATTAAGAATATACAAAAACCCATGTTCTATTTCAGTATTTTAAAAGTTATGACCGTTCGTGTCAACGCATATTTGAGATAATGTGATATTTTCAGCTCTAGCGTTACGGATCTTTCTCAAGCAGATTTTGTCAAAAGTATGGCTTACCTAATTCATTACTGGCACTGATTCACAAATTGAGCCATTTTCGAGTCCCTGAGATGCCAGATTCCATAAAATTCCAGTAAATGTACTTTAAAAACTGCTGGTATGCGGCCATATTTGAATCCCACGCTGACAATCCGGCCAGAAAATTATTTTTTACCAAAGCAAACCTATTGTAGTTAAGAGTGTAGATAAAGCCTTTCACTTGCCAGAGTTTCAGGCAAAATTATCTTTCACGCGAAATTGAGTGGGCAGGTTTTACTGGAACAGCCTCTTAAATGAGCATCATCACCCCCGCCCCCAACCACAATATAAAACTAACACCCCCTCTTTTGCCAAAAAGAACAAAAGAACAATCCCTAATACCCTTCCCTAGGAAAGTAAATTACTGGCAATGCAAACACCAGTGGAGCAAGGCTAACGACTAAAGCAAAAGTTAGCAAAACAGTCATAAATCTTAGTTTTTCTGGAATATTAATTATAATAGTGAGATGTTAAGTAAAAGAAAAGCCATTGGCTCATGGGGTAATTGCATACGTCACCATTAACAAAGATTTGGAAAAATTACCACCACAGCTGTATTAGATAAAGATGAAAATTTGTTATCAATCAGGGTTGCGATTAGGGGTGTGCCCGTCATCGATTATAATCGATCATTGATCGAAAATCTTTAAGCGTTGCGACAATCGATTATGGATGATGACAATCGATTATCGCGGACAAATGAAAAAAAACTTATTGATGACGAATAAAAACCAAAAAAAATGTGTAAACTGTAAATTACCCTCGATGGCAGATTAAATAACCTACCAGGCTTGGGGAATGCAATTTCTAAATACTATTAAGAAGAAAATCAGTTAGTTTACTAATGTTAATGTAAATAATAATAATAATAATAATAATAATAATAATAATACCACTGTGACTTGTACACAGGTGAAACAGACATGTTTTTTTATCGATAGATTTTCCGAGTAAAATCGATGATCGATCAGTTGGGTCAATCCGTTTATTTCCGATGACGGATGATAAAATTTCAGCCGATTCCCGTCACTACTTGCGTTGAAATTGGAGTTGTCATACCAGCGAACTGACACCATTACCTATTTTACTTGCAGTTATATTTCTCGGCACTGGGAATTGTTCTTTTTTCAATCGTTCACAGGAACTTTTTTGTCCCCGATGCTCCTGACGTTTAAGCGAAATCTACGACAGCGTTATCGAGATATTTTGGTATGAAGTTTTTATAGTTGGAAATACGGTAAAAAACTGGACAATCTTGATTTTCAGCCGTTATCTGTACAAAACAAGACGCTTTTGAAATGCAATTACACGTCATTGTAGTTTCAGTCTGTTAAAAAACATGTAACAAAGATCACATAGATAGCTCTAGCTGATTGCTACAAAGAAGGATTTGATTAGTAAGTATCGATGCACTCTTGTTAGCGGTTTGGAAAAAAATTTGGTCTACTTTTAATTAACAAATAAGCGAATAATTTTGAAAGCGCTGGATAGATATTTTTAAGAAATTCATATTCTCGAGATTAACTGTCGTTTAATGTCACTTTTCAGTTTCAAGATTGATATATTATGAGGCAGTAAAATTTAATTTTAATTCTAATTTAATCAAGTTTCAGATTTACAATTACAATGACAATTAAATCAATCAATCGCTCAATGTGGTAGCCTTAAAACAGAGTACAAGACTCCTTAAAAATAAGCCACCTATTATTACATCATAAATAGATCTAGAGAATTAATCAAGTAATAAAATTATCTAAAACATTATTTTAAAAGGTATTATTTAAAAATTACAGAAGACATGAGATGAAACATAGGCACGTTAAACGTGCATGAGCTATTTTGAATGCTTCAGTGTAACTTTAATGCTTCGGTGTAACCTTACCAAGAGTGATGAATCTACCCGTTTTCATCCTAAATGTAGATTGGGTTTTCATGCGAAATTGCGTATTGCGGTGCATAAATGAAAACGCGAAACGCTCAGCTGAGTGGATCCTCAACCTATATATTCACTTTCCTCTGTCTTTCCCTGTTACATCATGCAAGTTAAACAAATGGTTAAAGTGAAATAAACTTCTACTCACCAAACGTTGATTAGAAGGAAAACTCTAAGGTTTCCTCGGAGTTTCTTAAGCCAAAATGTGACTCATCGAATACTGAATAGTTCAGTGAAACAGTCTTTAACTCCGACAACTCATTTCTTCATGTTTTAAAAGCTATTGCTTCTCAAAAGACAAGAGTCTTTTTTAAGGCATTGGTTACAAAACAAAACAGATCTTCATACGTCCAAGTTACTATTTATCATTGTGAAAAGCCAATCTGCATGAGATGTACAGTCACACAGCTGGCACGTGAAAGTGTTGGACTTTGCCCCCTTTCGTCGTTCGTACGTGAGGGAATTCGAGTTATCATTCAGTAAACTAGTAAACAGATTTATAAAAATAACTCACGCACACAATTTGCACGTGAAGATGTTGGTCTTTGGCCTTTTACAATTCGTACGTAAAAAAAAGGCAAATTGTTTTATTACAAAATTTTCTCACACGATTTTAAGAAATCACCTCGGCTTCATTATAACATCTGCAATTAAATTATGTTTCATGCAACGTCAAGGTTGATAACCTAACATTTATTAACATTTGTGAAACAGTCTTTAACTCCGACAACTTATTTCGTTATGTTTTAAAAGCCACTGCTTCTTATAAGACAAGAGCCTTTTTAAGGCATTGGTTACTAAACGAAACAGGTCTTCATACGTCCAAGTTACTACTATTGTTGTGAAAAGCCAATCTGCATGAGATGTACAGTCACACAGCTGGCACGTGAAAGTGTTGGACTTTGCCCCCTTTAGTGGTTCGTACGTGAGGGAATTCGAGTTATCAAACAGTAATCTAGTAAACAGAATTATAAAAATAACTCATGCACACAATTTGCATGTGAAGATGTTGGTCTTTGGCCCTTTCACAATTCCTACGTAAAAGAGAGGCAAATTGTTTTACTACAAAACTTTCTCAAACGATTTTAAGAAATCACCTCAACTTTATTACAACATCTGCAATTAAATTATGTTTCATGCAACGTCAAGGTTGATAGCCTAACATTTATTAACTTCCAAGAAAATTATCAAACTGCTGAAATACATTTCTACTTATATCATGTTGCTCCACTCAATATAACAGTATCTAATTATTGTGTCAACTAGCTTCTTCCAATTTTATTCCCTAACGCTACTGTTTCTACTGAAGTTACGCATCTTTACTAAATAGAACGAAAAAGGTCGGTTGAACTTTGTAAGCGAGAGAATAATATTTTTAAAGCTTGTTTACCGGATTAACAATACTCGATACAGCTTTCAAAAAAATAAGCTGCCTTTTAAACTTCTAAAACCACATTTTATAGGGCGCATACTTTCGAATTAAAGTCTATATCTAAATATCAATTATTGCTTTATTGGAAGAGATTTGAAAATATATGATCTTTTATACTCTACCCAGTTGTAGCAGGTGAAACAGAACTCATACTGACGTGCGTTGTACCGATAGCCGAATTAGGTCAGAAATGCCTCGAAGCAGCATCCACACTTAAATATGAACCCTTAAACAGCTGCATCACTGTTCACAGCGTTTGAATCATGAAGATATTTTATGTAATGCTTCCAAACACCTGTACCCGTAATAAAAGACGAAAAAATTGTGAAGGATCAAGATGGCGGTCTCAAAGTTCGACCTTTACCAATACCATGTTCAAATAGATGCCAAGATCTCATTGGTTCCTAAGCATCAACTCATAGTACCTTCAAACTTATTGGCTCTTGCAACAAACATCCCAACATACAAAGATACAAAGCCACAAAGATACATACGCTCACACCACTGACATATGAGCTATTTTTTCAAAATAGCTCAAAAATGAAATTCAATTGAAAAATTGCCAATTGTGATATCAGAGAAAATTTACATTAAACTTGTCATAATAAAAGGCCATCAAATTCTTACGAAAGATTGACAAGGTATTTGATTCTCTTATACTAAGAGGTAATTCATTCCACAGGCGACAGATCCGAACAAAAAAAGAATTATTAAAGACGTCAGTCCTGCTGAAAGGGACATCAAGCGTTAAATTATCAACATTCCTGAGGGGTTTGGTACAAGGGCGAAACGATACATAATTTAAAATGTTTGCCTTATATATATTCTTAAGACACTTAAAGTAGTTATAGACGAGGGGTTCTACGCAGTGGTGGAGGTGGTGGAGTTGACGTCACAATAGCTCAGGGGATTAAAATGATGAGATCATCATCTAAAAATAGAAAGGTATTCTGTATAACAATCTAGGGAGTTGACGTCATCAAAAAACGATGCGATCATCATAAAAATAGCCATTTAATATGGTAACTGGTGAGATGACATCATCAGCTTAAATTAGAAAGGGGTTTTTGACATTATCAGCTATTTTGTATAGTCTATGACATCATTATTTACTTTTATCTTTTTAAGATCATATGAATGAAGGTTATTATGATTAATTATTATTATCATCCAAAACGAAAATAGGTATTATTCAGTCTTTTATAAGAATAAAGCTTACATCGTATGATCGCGAGGGCCATAGCTCCCCCCTTAAAAGAAATAACGTCTCTCAAGAAAACATTTTGCGACCTCTCAGGATCAACAATTTCCACACTGAAAGAACTCCATTCTGAAGTATTCTAAAGAGTTAATTTGGGCAGAGTTTTGGTGTTCTTGAAATTTGCAGAGGATCTGGAACTGATGCAGGAAGAATGGGGACAATTATATGCTGTTATTTATCCCACTTTAATATATCAAATCTGAGAGCAGTTATATAAGGCGATGATGTAGGCAGTAAAATCATTTAAGACTCTAACATTGCGAAGTGATTAGAGCGATAGGTTGTTGTCCACCATCGACCACTTTTGGACATCGTTAGTCAGTTTATTATGTGAGTTCGCAAGCCCACCGTTGCATACAAATTCGTTCAGCTCTGCAGGAAAAACCCCAGGAGAGAACCTTCAAGTGACTTATTATCATAAAAACAATAAAAACATAAAATAACTTAACACGGATCAATTGAAACACGCCAATGATTTTACTGCCTACATCATCATCTATTGTGACGTCAACTCAACCACCTCCACCACTGCGTAGAACCCCTCGTCTATTACTACTACCAGAAACCCATAAGGGGTTGAAACGTGTAACTCGCGTTCAATGCTCGTGAATATTCATTTTGACCATATTTGGAAACCTTAGTGACGGATATCCATTTTCAACAAAATGGCTGCTGCGCGATCACCATGCAGATGTTTTAAGACAAGAGTAAAAATACACCGTTAAAAGACAAAAAATGGAAAGAGAAAGTTCAAAAGAATGCTCACTTTCTTTTTGTGGAGAAAGGGAAGCTTTTCATCAAGAAATCGTCCTTCGAGGAATTCAACCTTGTTTTCTTCACGGCGGAGCCCATGGTCTGTTTTGAAATGCAACCAAGTCAGCGAAGTTTCTGCTGAATTGTCAGGTACATTTTGCTCTATATGGCCAAGACAGTTACGTTTTTGAAAGGGAATTTATGTATATTTAAATGTTTCATAGACGTTTTATAAATTTTTCTCTTCGGCGCTAAAGAAAAATTACAAAATGTGCCCTGATTTGAGATGGATTTTGTGTTGAATTTTGCCATGTGCTTAGCCGATTTCACTTGTGTGAACCGATCCACGATCCAGATAGTGTTTTCCGAATTGCTTTAAAGGATTAACTTTTTGGACTTTGAATAAAAAATTTCAAGAAACGGCTTCTCTGTCTATTGTTTTGAGTTTGTTCATTCATAAAATTAGCTCAAAACACGATCGTGACTACAACATCTAAGTTTAATTTAAGCTTTTAAAATGCTTCTCACATTCATTACAAGCATCACTTTTTGCGAAGACGTCAGGTTCAGGTTTTGGACACTTTTCGATAAGCAGCTAAAGAATTTTATTCGAAAATATTTTTCACTGTTTATTCTAGACTTTTAACATAAGAATTTTAAAAGCCTATTTGCAGTATAAGTTTACTGTGCAGAGGGTCAACGAGGCATCGTTTTTTGAAGTGACAACTTCCAAGAAGTTGCGAGGCCGTCAATGGGTTTCATAATGTTACGTCTGTGGTAAAGCAATAATATCCTGCTCAGTGTTTCGGTAATATTCCTGGTTTCAACCTTTGAAAGATTTCGCGGCTTTCGGGAGTTTTTCTCCCGTTTGTCGGCCATTTTTTTAAGCGGGCGCGGGAACCTGAAGGAAAATTACGTCTCGTTGTTTACGAAATTTGATTGGTCAGTTATCTCTTCTTCTCGTTCCAAATATGGTACTTTCGAAAATGAATAATCACGAGCATCGGACAAAGCAAACATATGAGAGTTACACGTTTCAACCCCTTATGAGTTTCTGCTACTACTTAAAAAAGAAAACGAAATCATTAATTTCTCTGCAATACTTCAAACGTAATAAATTTAACTTACTAAGGCGCTCATGCTCAGAATAATCCCTTCCAAAAATGAATCTTGTAGCCCTGCGTTGCACCAAATTGTTGATGTTTCGTTTGGTATGAGGAGACCATACCACGCTAGCATATATTGAAGGCGCGAATGAACCCAAGCAATATAAAGTAATTTCTCTGTACTAATATCATATATGTCCCTGCATGTTCGGTAAAGGACATTAAGCACTCTTTGAGCTTTCAAGGAGATAAGATCAACGTGATCATTCCAGCTTAAATTGTGGCTAACCAAAACCCCCAAGTCTTTCTCAACATCAACACGGTCTAACTTAATCCCACCAAGGTAATAGTCCCTGTCATTGATTGATCTTATACGAGTCCCCCCTTAAAACCTTACACTTCTTGGCATTAAACTTCATTCCCCAGATACGAGACCACTGAAATAACTTGTTCAAGTCACCCCGCAATTTGTCACCGTCATCCCGCCCTAGAATTAAGCGAAAAAACTTTTGAGTCATCAGCAAAGAGGGGTAGAGATGTTTCCTTTGAAATCGCATTAGGCATACCATTGATAAAAAGCAAGAACAGTAAAGGCCCCAAAATTGACTTCTGCGGGACTCCAGATGTTACAGGGATGAAATCAGAAGACACGTTATCTATCACAGCTCTGTGTCTTCTACCCGATAAATATGATCTAAACCAAGCCAACAAGGATCCACCAATACCAAGGCATTCTAGCTTAAACAGGTGTTTTTCGAGAGACACAAGATCAATAGCCTTAGAAAAATCTAAATAAATAACATTAACTTGTTGTCTCCTCTCAAGAGCGTTAGCTAATTGATGAACAACTTGAGATAGTTGAGACACAGTGGATTTTCCTGGTAGAAAACCATGCTGCCAGTGGGTAAGATGCGGGCAAATAACACTGAAGATCTCCTTATAAACTACCACGGTAGTTTGAAACCATCGTCTTAGACTCACATTTATGAATAGGGATAAGATTTGCGTCTTTCCATTTTTCAGGAAATGTCCCAAGCTCTAAGGACAAATTGAATAATCTACATAACGAAGGTGAAATTTTATTAGCACATGCTTGCAATAACTTACTGGGAAACCAAGGGAAGCTTTGTTAACGTCAAGCGATTGAAGCTGTTTATAAATGTTGCTAGGGCTAAGACGTACTTCAGATAGTTCATGTTTAACGCTGTCGTTGAGTCTGGGTAGACATACAGTAGCGCTGCTAGAGTCAGGTGGTGCAAAAACTGAGTGATAAAACACGTTGAATAAATTAGCTTGAATAAATTGATTTCTTTAAGTCTTCAGTACAGAAGAGCAGGCTTTGTGGCGTCATTCCCAGGGTTCTCTCTCTTCCTTCCTCGAGAAAGAACCCTGGTTGCGGCTGGTCGTGTGACCCCCTGTGACAATGAAATCCTCGCCAGCCTAAGGTTATCTTTGTTATGATCAAACAAATTCGTTCACCGAGCAAATGAACTCAAACTTAAGGCAACAACATGCGATCTAAAAAGGTACAAGAACAAAAGTTAATGTTCATGACTTTTTTTAAAACAAGTTTTTGTGAGGATTGCTCTCAAAGTTTTGAATTTTCAAACTGTGTTTCGTATCGTTTGTGAACAGAGAGAAACTCAATTGACAAACCTTTATTTTAGTCGTATTTTAATAACCAGTTATACAAACTGATTTTGTTCTTGATTGCATTTATTGTTGTCATAGTGATATCAAATTCACTTAAAAACTTGACAAACTTGAATTCATATTCGATCACTAGTGGAAATTTTATAGCAATCGGACAAGGATAAAATCACTTTTAAGGCGATTAATAAATATCGGTATGGCCTCCGAAAAACTGAATCGAAACAGCTTAAAAATAGAAAAAAACTAATCCTAGTTGGAATCTATAGACTAACCGAAAAATTAACTGGTTACTGTAGACTTCTTCTGGAGGAAGAACTGAGTCGCACCTCAAACTAGGCCTCTCTGAATCAACAGAATGTTGTCGTATATATAATTAAACCTTAATAAACTTTAGGGTTCATAGAATGAGACCCAATACATCAGAAGTAAAAAAATTCTAGCACATCTATATGTAGAAGAGGAACGAAATTTAAACCAACCAGAGTTCAAACTCTGGAGTCACACACTCCTGAGACCATTATGGATGTTATTCTAACTAACAATTCCAACATCTTTGATGCGAGGTGGAGTGAATGACTGGATCCAGCAATTTCGATCATGCACTTGAAGTAACCGTAACTACTAGTATTGGGTTCAGGAGGATGATAGGAAAGGTCTTCCATGTGTCCATCAAAATACAACTTGTACCCCACAAGAGATTTGTAAACATTTTAGGCTTTCAGCATTTAATGTAAGGGATATTTTCCTGCCAGGTAAATTAAAAATTGGGAATCTCAAGTCTGCGACAAAAGTAAAATTTTTGGTCCATTAAGGTTCTTGTGATCAAATGGATTTCCCAGATCTCCCTCATTGGTTTTTAGTTGCTCTTTCATTGAAATTCTATGATTGACTGATGTTTTCATCTTATGTAGCAATCTTTGGGACTTTCATCACCCTACTTTTTTCACAAAGTTCTTCTAGTTCAACCTTATGTTTTCCTGAGCTTTGAATGGCCCTTTGTTTTAAGTATTCTTTTAACCAAGGAATTAAAAGGTTTGAAACTGCCTACCGCCAAAGACCAGCCATCTTGTGTCCTCTAAGCCTCATTTACATGTGAGGTCCTAGTCCTCAGGAGAACAAATCCACAAATATCAAAAGGACCCTTAGGCTATAGGTGATCTCTCATTTTAAATGTATAGTGACAGAAATGACTCTTTCCAACCCCAGCCAATCATTTTCAGTCACTTGTTACCAGATCTTACCATACTAAGGAATTTATCATCTATGTGAAGCTCTGGCTAAAGGGAACAAGCATTTTTCCACTTCATACTGATATGTAATTTTATACAGTCTTAGGTATGTATTTGGAATGGGATCATGATAAGTGCAGAAGAAGACTGCTGGGTTAATTTTATTAATAAAACTTATTTACAAGTGTTATTTTCAACCCATTGTTTTAGCCAGGTCTGAAAACAATAGGTTACACTTGTAAATTACACTAGTCTTGTAAAAGTTTCAATTAAATTGACCCCTGATTGGTTTTTAACCTCCTGGCATGTTTTGAAGCCCACACTGATACACAATGTACAAGGACACCAACAGGCCTGTACATATTGAATGGCGCAAACGTACTGGCAATGAACATTACCAGCACAACTATTGTTGATATTTACCTCCAACAGTAATGGTAACGGCTGTGCTGTTTGTTGCTCCCACAGTGTTGTTGGCCTGGCATTTGTATGTGAAGACTCCACTGCTTGACAGCATCCTGATCCACTCTCCTGAACTGCTTGTGCCCAAAAAAGTGTCATTTCTAAACAACTGGTAGTAGTACACTTCTGGATTACCATGAGTACCAACTGAGCAAGTGAAGTTCAAATAGCTTCCAAGACAGGCTTGGTTTCCAGTGGCATTTGTTGACAGCTGAACATTCTCGGGTTTGACTGAAAAAAAGAATAAGGGAGGAAAATTGAAACCTTCTAAAACATTCTCTGATAAGTATTACATGCAAGTTGTTCAAAGTTGATTAAAAAATGCACAAATAAAACAGGTACTAGTATCTCTAGGGCTGCTTCCTTCTACTTAATGATCCATCACTCTATTCACCTCCCGATAAAACAAACTATAAGTTAAGGGAGAGTAGTGGAGAGCCTGTTGACAAAGCCTTACTGATTAAAACCTCTTGTAACCTAGCTATCCTCATTTTTCAACAAAGTTGCTACATGTACCTTATAGTTGGAATGGTCAAATATGATAATTATGATTTATTACATGTGAATTCTGAGGGCAATCGCTAGCCCACAAGTCCAATATTCTCTGGCTGTTCCAATGAAACTGAGAGGTGGTTGTAGGGGTGTTCTTGTGCACGGATAAGAAAGCGTCAATTTGTTAGTTTTTATCACATATCAGTGAACATAAAAATGTATATTCATGCCAAAGCAGCTCCAAGACCACCATTTTATAATGCTACAGAGACATCTCGCAGTCAAACCTCTATTAAGCGGGTCACCCTCAGGAATTAGCCAAGTGACCGCTTATCAAAGGTTTTCTAAATTAAATCCATAATAGATCTTTGTTACATGACGGCCATTTTGTCTGAGGAGATTAAAAAGCTTTTTTTTTTGCATGTTTAGACTCACAGTGAGAATGAGGCTAGCCATGCAAGTACATAGTTTTTTTTATCTCATGGGACAAAATGGCCACTGCATGACAAAAGTCTATAGGGCAGAAGTTGATGTACAGTGCTAGTATACCTTTGGCCTATTTTGGTTTACACTTGCATCAAATCATGAATTAAAACATAATGCAAGTAGGGAGCCTTCATTCGCTCAATGAGAGCAGGTTATGCTCATTTTCTTAACACAGATTACCCTTAAATTAGTGCAGAAAAGAAAGTCATCAAGCTGCATGTTGGAGAGGAAGAGCATGGCTCTGACCAAGACCTCCAAACTGGCGAACTAATAATAAATAATAAATAATAATAAAAAAATATTTATATAGCACCTATACTTTTCAGTGCTAAGCGCTTTACAATGCTTCAAAAAGGTCTTGATAAAAAATAAAAATCCTAAAATCATTTACATATATATATACATAGTCACAAAACTACAAAATAAAAAACCTAAGATAGTTCGTAAACTTGCTTAAAAAGAAAGGTCTTCAATTAAGATTTAAACTTATTTACATCATGATCAATCTAATGTCAATAGGCAAATGGTTTCAGAGTATAGGGGCAATGACTGAAAAAGCCCTTAAACCATATGTCTTTAAGTTATAGGGTTTAATAACAAGACGCCACTTGTCTGAAGATGAGCAAAGGTACCTCGCAGGTTCATAAACATGGATTAGGTCAACCAAAATAAAAATAATCAGGAGCTAAATTGTTGAGTATCTTAAAACAAATAAGATTAATCTTAAAGATTATTCTTTGCTCCACTGGTAGCCAGTGCAACTCCTTTAGAGTATCACTTCTGTGATCAAACCTACGTAAGCAGGCAATCACACGCACTGCAGCATTTTGGACACTTTGCAGTTTGTTAATTTCATACTTGGGAAGACCATGTAAAAGTGAGTTGCAGAAATCCAGCATCAAATTTATGAATGCTTGCACAAGAACTTCAGCCGTTGTGACATTGATATACTTACTAATTGCATTCGAGGTACGAGAACACAACCCCTAATTTGTGTTGGGCATTCTGTGCATTATTGGGTGTCCTGTGCAATTAATAAGGGAGGTTTTTTTGAGATTGCATTTTCGTTGTCTACACACATTTGCCTCGCTTTGAGGCGCTTGCTTACGTTTGACCTCACTTTGATGCGCTAACTCACGTGTTGCGTCCTTTCAAAGGTTTGCTGAGGTCTGATATTCTGTCTTCGTAAAGCGTGCATCTTTTAAAAAGTTTGCTGAATCTTCGTAAAGTGTACATCGATCTGTGATTGCTGAATCGTCCAAAGCCTTCATCTTTCAGAATTTTACTTTGGACTAAGCCTTCATATTTTTCAGCATGATTTGTCCCTGTCTTTGGAAAATGTCTGCGACTCCTGGTACATGCATCAAACCGGGTTTAGTTCGGCGGCTGTTGTGCCACAAAGTAAATTTACCGAGATGTGTAGCTCGGCGGCCGTTGTGTCAGAAAGTAAATCTACCGAGTTGTGTTGCTCGGCAGCCGTTGTGCCACAAAGTAAATCTACTGAGATGTGAAATAAATTTACCGAGTTGTGTAGCTTGGCTGTTGAGTCACAATGTAAATCTACTGAGATGTGAAGCTCGGCCGCGCCATTTGATCACGACTTGTGATATTTTCGGCACCAGAAGTTATTTATTAGGAAAACTTTATAAACCAGCCCACAGTAGCGCCACTCTTGAGTCACTGAAATCAACACGCTCGTCCAAATTACTGGAAAAGTTATTGACGTGAGCTGCACACACATTCCATTGAAGGTTTTGACAGAGTTAGTGCGAAGTTTGAATTCAGATGTGAAAGCTTTTAAAACAGTAAATTCAATTTAATTCATTTTGTCAACAAGTTGATGATTGGATGCTCTTAAAAATAACAGAGAAAATTATCCGAAGAAAGATTTTTGAAGAGAGAAAAAGAATCCTGGGTTAAGCACTAATCTGCCTTTGAGCAAGTGCGCACTGTAATCGTGCCAGTAAAACAAAATGTTCTATTTACACGCCCGACACACTCTGGCCAATGTCTCCTCCGATTACAAGCACTTGACACCGAACCATACGATATCTTTTCAAAACCTTCTTATAATGATACACAGTAAAAATAGAGGTTTTGCTGTACATAACCCTTACGTTCAAAATATGCCATAATCATATTTATCTATATCGCAACTACCCTTCCCCCTCAACTGCTACCTGTACGCCTAACAAATATATCAAACGCACTCTCCTAAGCTCCGATTACTCCTAGTCTTAGCTGTAAATATTTCTAAGGTGGTAGAATGCCACTTTAACTATGTTGTTAATATGAAAAGACATCGTTACAGTGTTATCGAAAATGACGCCGATATTACGCGCCTTATTTGTAGGCTTGGTGATATCAGTTCCTATTTTAATAGAAGGTAGCCGTGGGAGCAATCTGAACCTGGAATAGAGAATGAGAAGTTCCGTTTTGTCAGTAGTTTCAGTTGAACGTTAGTAGTCATCCAGTTGGTGACATCGACAAGACAGCTTTGAATCCGGGAAATTGTAGTGGTAAGATCATCCTTATCTTCGCAACTGAAGGTGGTGTACAGTTGAGTATCATCAGATATATAGATGGAAGTCCATATCATGCCATCGTATTAGGTCACCTAGTAGGGCTGTGTACAACAGATACAGCAACGGACCCAACACAGACCCCTGGGGTACACCAAATCTGAGCGCACAAACTGAAGAGGTAAATCCATCAATCTGAACTGACTGGGAATGATCCATAAGCCACAAAAGTGCTTTTCCTTTTATACCAAACCTGGAGCGCAGTCTGTGTAACAAGATCTTATGATCGACGGTGTCAAAGGCTGCTGATAGGTCTAACAGCAAGAGAACAACACATTGTTTATCATCAATTGATTTCAGTATATCATTTTGAACATGTAGAGGCGCTGTCTTACAACTGTGGTGTTTCTTATAAGCACACTGAAGACTTTCATTCAGATCAATATCACACAAATAATTCATCAGACGCATGGCTGCAACTTTTTCAATAACTTTAGACAAAAAGTTCAGGTTACATACAGGTCGAAAGTTAGAAAATATTTCAAAGTCTAGGGACGGTTTAATCAGCAGAGGAGACAACACTGCATTCTTCATGGAACTTGGCATTGAAGCTGAATTGAATGAAAGGTTTACGACTCTTAATAATAGGTGGTAAATCATCGATACAATAACGTAAAAGAGAAGCAGGTACAGGATCAAGAGAACACAATTTGGCGGCGATTTTTTTCACCAGACCAGAAAGTTCATCCTCTGAGGTGGGAAAAAATTCGCTTAATTCACATGTAATTATGGCGTCATCAATCAATGGAAGAACAGAAGCATCGGTAATAGATAACGTATCCAGTTCATGCCTGATTGCCACAATTTTGTCACAGAAAAAGTCTACTTGTTTTACCTGCCATGGACTCCTTTAGGTGGACACCCAATTCAAAAATTCTGAAACACAACAGCTACAAGCAGCAAATAGCTTGACTGACAACCCAAGAAAATGCAAGTCACCTAAGTCGGTCATAAGGATGGTTTTAAAGTCATTTGAAACCTTCTTGAACTGTTTAACCTTTCCAACTTTCATGAGATGAAAAGTAAAGTTACTTGAGATTTTACTTACAATAGGCCTTCTAATCTGCATTTTTGGTTAAGTAAACTTAGCAGCTCTTAAGTCTTTAATACTTAACAGCCTAATGTAAAGACAAACATTTCTGTTTTATAGTTGGGAACAATATTACTTTAAAGGCCACCTGACTGTACTGGACTGCTGTTTCACAAGATAAGGCTTCTTATATGCACATATGTAAACAAGACTGATTCATGGATGCAATAAATTCTGTACCAGCACAGTTAAACTCAAATTTATTGCTTTTTAACTGTTTAATTACAGATCATTTTTTTGTTAATGTGTGTGTTGAGCCAAAAGCAACAGAACAATGTTTTGCCCAAAGCATCGATAAAGTACATTGTATAATTAAGGTTCAATTTGGATCAAAAGTGCCCCGTCAAAGTGACAGGCCAGACTTTATCTTTCCTAGATAAAAACGTCAAATTTGCTGGACAAATGTCTGATGACCAACTGTTAATGGCTGAGCCTTGCTGTTTATGTTAAAGTGCTACTACGACGTAAATTTTTGTTTTTCTTCTTGGCTGTTTTCAACGTCGATTCAGTCAATGTGCCCACATTATAATCCATTTGAATTTAGAACAATAGAAACAAGATACTAAATATGACCCAGGACTCACTTCAAAAGTAGGTCGAGTTTGATCATCCGGGTGAACATAGTCCTGAATACCTACCTGTGTGGTAGTCATCTTCAGAGTCAAAGTGAGTTGTCTTATGCCAGTTGATGAGTATTATACTCTGGAGTATAATATGACTATAAAACCATCAACTGACGTGATACAACTCACTTTGGCTCTGAAGATGACTACCGCACAGGTTGCCGAAACGTCAGTCACTGTCAACAACAACAGTCCTATTCAGGACTACGTTCACCCGGACGATCAAACTCAACCTACTTTAGAAACAAGATAGATCAAGAAATTGCCCGCCGAAAATCACTGAAAATCCGTCCGCCATTACCCAGTTCGCAATAGAGAAGCCTGTGAGAATTTTGAAAGTGGTCTCACACGTGAGTTCCTTAATTGTGACATCAGACTCAAATCAGTTCACAAAGCATACAAGATAACGTAGTTGCGTTAATGAATATATGTAATGTCCACCTCAACATCCTCGTCAATCCCCACCTCAACATCTTCATCATTCACCTCAGAATTTGTATCATTTTGCTGATTTAGGTCAAGTTGTTCCAAGATTTCCTTTACAAGCTGCCAAGACAATCGTGTTTTTAACAAGAAAAAAATAAATAAAGTAAAAGCGGAGTGTTTCGATACATATACGACCAGAGTAACTGAACAGCATTTTCTGACTAACTTAAAGTGCAATTAGCGTGTGACCAAGAAAAAATATGGTGTGAATATTCCTCATTGTGCGTAAAACTATTTACATCGGCTGGTAAGCAATACGTTATGCTTGTTAGAATATTATTTATCTCGCCTTCCCAAGGCCAAGAGCCATATACAATGGATTACACTTCTTTTGAAAACAAAAGTATCACTGTGTTTTTCATTCTGAATGATTATAAATGATTGTAATTGTTATTTTTAATGCAACACATAACAGGCAATCACAACGAAGAAGAAGGAAATGAGGAAAAGGTGTGAACTGAGAAACTCAGAATCTGAGTTGTAAAAAAGTCTAATGCTTTATTTATCTTTACTTAGCAGTAACTAGGAACAATTGAACTGGTCCAAAGAGACCGCTATTTACAAACGAATTGCGATCATGATGACAAAACCCTTTCTAAATCTTAAAAAGTTGCATCCCTCTATAGGAAAAAACTATGGAGATTCACTAACCTGTTGACAGCTTCGTCCACTGATAGAAAAGGACTCCCTTTTCCAAACTGTTGCAACAGATCCTGTTTTTACATAATTATCTTCTGGTTTCTTTAATACGAATACGAACTGCACACGTAAAACAGTCCTTAGTAAAGTGTAATGAACATACACCAAACTGACCGATTGGTTTAAAATTTTTGCGAAGTTGAAAAACAATTCTTTTCCACTTGGAAAGGACAGTGCCCTCCAATGGAGAGGTATGCATTGATATTTCCACTTCTGGATCAGATATACGATCACAATCTTGCACTACACACTGGCGTGGAGACATTTTGAAGTTATAAATTCAACAATCGGGCGGTCTCTCACATTTCTCATAGACTGCAGAGGAAATCAGCCACGAGATTTTGGATCGATGCGAGTCTGAAGTCACTTCCTCGTCGTTCAAGTTAGTCCCAACCCTTTTTTCGCTCCTGGTCATTTTGTAGCCCAAGTAATGGCAGACAGTGAAAGCCAATGTTTTTTGTCAAAATTTTTATGAATTTTGAGCAAAAAAATTGGCATGGTTGCTAATTAGTATGTCTTCTTTCCATAACCAAAGAAAAAAAGGACTTCCAAATCTACGTCGTAGTAGCACTTTAAAGAACAAAGAAATAGTCATTCACACCTTGCAGCAACACTGCTGCACACTCATTTGTTAAACTTTCAGCCCACTGAAAGTCAGAGCACCTGCTTCATGAGGCCTGTTTTCTATTTGGCCTTGTATATATAATGTGTAAATGAATTCCTCTTGAAGCAAGGATTATAAATTTGTTGAAATTTACCTTGCACGTGAATTGTATAAGGATCACTTAACCAAAAGTGAGACATCATTTCACATATTCTATTGGTTTGGTTGGTGTTTGCAATTGCCTAGCAACAAAACCATGACAGGACAAAGCTTGAACAATTTCTTTGTGACCGATTTAGTGGTCAAGAAATGATTTTTGCCATGAATTTAGACAGCAGAAGTACTTTACATAGAATATGGAGGTGATGTGGATTACTAGCTTCAAAATAAGAGTGAAAATCAAGGTAAGAGAACATTTTATGATCTTTGTGTTATGTCTCACTTGGCCCTTTTTTGGCCTTTATGCCTTTTATCGGTCCTTTTCCTATGAAGCTTCGAGAGGTACAAGACAAGTAAATACTTTAGTAATCTTCTGAAATTTGCATTTCTCCTTTAACCCTTCATCTTGCTTTCACTCCTACAACCATACGAAATTCCATATTTCTATTTCGTATAAGCTTACCTCCTGAGAAAATCTTGGCCACCGGGAAGGAGAGGGGAAGGGAGGATGCATATACATGGCACGAATACGTACAAGAAGACAGAATAGTTAAGTTGTTGTGTTGTTGTCTACTTACACTGCACAAAGACATTGACAGTACTTGTTGTTGACCTGAAATTAGTATTCCGAATGAAGTATTGATAATCTCCATCGTCTGATCTATTCACATGAAGGAGTGTTAACGTTGCTTCACTGTCTAATATAATCACTTGTACATGGTCTGAGAATGCGGGAACCACGGTCAAGCCGCTGCTATCTTTCAATGCTATGGTATCGCCCGTCGGTACCCATGTGAAAGTTGAATCTCGAAAGGTGCCATCAATGTCGTAAGTCCAACGAAGAGTTATGTTGTCCCCTTCATTAACACGTGAAGGATTCGATGGCTCTTCAGTGAACGATGGTACAGCGTCTGTGATGGTATAAAGTACGAACCAATATGTAAGCCTAGCTACCCTCAAAAAGTAAAATCAAACATGTTTATTTGACAAAGAAAACGAAACTTACCTATTTCATGAAAAAATATAAACAAATTCCACGCCGCTGAAAGCGAGATAAGGGCTGAAAACATCGCAACTTCCTCTCAGTTAACAAACTCATTAAAGCCGAAAAACGCTTCCATGAACTAGCAACGAGGAAGTGAATGATAATTTTGCGGTGCACTCTGGGGTATGAAAGCGTTGGAAAGGATTGTAATAGAGGGCCAAAAAATGACCCTCCAATACTCGAGCCCGCGTTTTTATTGGTCAATGGGTGACCTTACATGACGTACTTGCTGGGTTGTTTGCCGCTCACTTCGTCGATCGCGTTCAGTTCAACTGAATGTCAACTGTTGCGTTGTAGGTGCTGTTGTACCATGCCAAAACGTTCTCCCGCAAAGAGAGATTTTAGAGATAACGGGGAGAGAAAAATAAAAAAGAGCAAAGAAGGTGCTTCTTCATCAACCAACAAAGTGGATGAAGATTTGGTAAGATCTTTCTGTTTGTTTTCTGTTATGGCACCCCTTTCCACGTATTAGGGGTAAGCTCATATGATTTCTAGTTCAATTTTTTAATACTTCCTCAGATTTTCTGGAATGAAAAAAGCGTTTAATTCACGAGGAAGCTAACTTATTTATTATACTACTGAGGGCAAGCTGCTCTTATGCACTTATCAATTGAAACCCCGACCCCCCCCCCCCCCCCCACCCCGGGCATATGTGGGGCAATGTGGGGGATTTTTATGGTATTTGAAGGCATGGTTAGCCCGTGGGGGTGGGGGATTTCTCAGGATTTGCTTAGCATATTCATGGGAGTCCATGGAAGTCGGGGAGCGAGGTGGGGATTCGGCTCGTGCCTAGTTTCCTCACGGTAATTTCTTCACGTGATCACTGGTATTTTGATGTATTGCTCGGCCGTAAGTTTCCTAATTGTTTTTCCTTTCATTTCTTCACTGAGACTAATCCTTTGCGATTTTGCCTTGAGCTTTCATGGTTCGTTGACTGGAAATTGTTATTGTTATTCAAAACTTCTCAAACAATGCAGATACAAGCTCCTCTACTTATAATAAATGGTGCTGTGTCACGGCTATCTGGTTCATTTTGTTAATATTGCCAGTTACGTGGTCCCTATTCGCTTTTGAGCGTTACGTTGGCAAAGAAATGAAGAAATCAAAGCTTCGTTTTAAACAGATGTTTCTCCCAAGCATATCAAGCGTTACGGACAAAAACAGTGAACTTTGAAAAACTGTTAGGTCAACAAGTTTTCAAAAACCAAAATTTCCATCCGTTTTAATCTTCTTCATGTTTTCCCATCTGTACCTTCTTTTGTATTTGCTGAGTCATTTATACCATCTTTTAATGTCTTAAGCGGTTATTTTTATGTTTCACTCATTTTGGTGGCAGTTCCCACAGCTACATTTTGGTAAATTTCATGACACAGCTCGTTTAACGTCTAGTGTTAAACCCATGTGGTTTCTGAAGTTCTATATTTCCTCATTCTTTAAGCCAAAATATAAAATATAGCTCCTAGGAACTATTTTATGCAGTCTATTTATAACATCAGCTTGTGAAGGTTAAGGTATGTTGGCTGCTATTTTCAATTAAACTTATCATTACAGATATTACTTTCAATGGAGATGGTACGGATTTCCTTTTAATATAACTTTATAGCAATGTGCTACTCCATCATCCATTTTGTACCCTGACTTTTTTATAAGTGGGTAGGGGTCATTATGTTTACTTATTGTCAAATATTTGTTGTATTTATATCTTGGTCTGTTGTCATATTTGCCTTTTTGCTGTAGTAAATTTGTCAATATTAAGAAGTTGAAAATTCGAACGAAATATTAATAAAGTCAGACAGGGAATTAAAAAGGTTTCCCCACCTGGGTGGGGGTTTTACCAGTCAATATGCCCCAGTAGGGTGGGAGTTTGCTAAGATTTGTAATGATGTCAAGTCAAATCCCCACCTTGGCCCGGGGTGGGGGGGGGGTCGGGGTTTCAATTGATAAGTGCATTACTGAGGGCAAGCTACCACGACATATGACATGAAGAGCTTTGTTTTTGTACTAGTATGATTTGTAGTGACATTTGGCATAAATACCACGAGTGATATTTCGAAATTGTTATACGTAATTTCAAATTTGAGACAACTTGGAAATATCACGAGTGGTATTTATGCCAAATATCACGTACAAATCATGCTATTATTTGTTTATACTACTACCTGTAAAAGGTTTGTAATTTTCACATGTAGGTATTTCAAATTAAGCTGAAATACCACTGCTCTAAGCCAATCAAATTGCAGTAATTTTTCATGTAGTAGTGTAAGGCATCTAATCTGTCGATTTCCAGGGTTTACCTCGGTGTAAGAATCTGTGAACTTTTTCTTTGTTTTGCACCTTTTGTTTTTCTGCTTTCTATTGCATTGACTTCTTTGTTTCCTCTGTTTTACGTCACTTGTGAGTTTAATAGGTTCTTACACCGAGGATGAGCCGATTTTCATTTATGGAAATCATAAAGCAACCTTGAACTGTAGACCATAACAAATAAATGTATGGCAGCACTCCTTCATACTTTATCTATCAATAGTTGACACTACAGCTGCCCCCGTTCTGTATGACTGTATCGTGGTCGGTCAATAGTCTTCTTGTTTGTGTAGCTCTTTAAAAAACATAGATTCATAATAGATATTTTCACACATATTGCATACATAGATAAGAACACAAAACAAAACGTTTCATGCAGTGATTCAGTTCGATTTTAAAGCAGCTCAGATCAAACCATTCTCAGTTTCGAGAATACTTTATTCTAAAATATAAGCAAAGAATTGATTAGAAGTTGTAAATATTCTTCACTATTTCTCTTTTACTTTTAATTTAAAATGTTTGATCACATTGCTCTTGGGCGTTCTAGTCATGTAACTTTTAAGACAATACGTTAATAAGAATTCGATGAAGATAATTGTTTCATTATGATGGAAAGTTTATGCAACAATATTGGGAGGGGGCAGACAGACAAGGTGTATTAGGGGATGCAAGACTAACAAATACTTGTGGTTATATAAATGTCACTTAAGATCTGAACAAGTTGAGTAATTCATAAGTTTTTTGGCAAGTCTTTCTTACATGTTGCTGAACCATACATTTATAACAAATATGGAAACCTTGGAAGTTTAGCTCTGTGGATTTGACCTTGAAGTGGAAATCAAAGTTCTATTGTAAGATGATACAAAATATTTTATTTCCTCAAATAAAAGCCATCCCTCTATTAACCACCTCCCTCAAATAAGAAATCTTTTCTAGTAATAGTTGACAATACAGCTCCACCCCCTCTGTATATTGTCGGTCAATAGTATTCTTGGTCATTGTGTAGCTCTTTGAAATATACCAATTCATGATCAAAGATTTTCACACATATTCTTATACAGAGGGTGAGAGTAAAAACAGGAAATGAAAGGTTTCATGCACTGTTTCAGTTTGATTTACACAGCTATGATCTGAAAGCATTCTCTGTTTTGAGAATAGTTTATTTTAAACCATTACAAAAGATTTAATTATTAGAAGATAAAGTTTTACAAACAGTTCATTTTATTTGCCTGAAATTAAGCGTTAGAAACTAAAAGGTTTGATCATTAATTGCTCACAGATGTCCTTCAGGGGATTAAGTATTAGAAATGGCTAGAACATGCCAAAGAGATAGAGAAAGGGATCAAAGAAGTGTGAACTTGTGTCTGGCAAACTATCCAAGTGTTTATATACACAGTCATACACCCCTTATAACCTCATCTCCGCTTAACGATGTAACATTTCCCAAGCATTCGTTATATAGAGGTGTTCAATATAGCAAACCCTCCACTTAACTAACACGTTTCCCCAGTCCCTTTGCATGTTAAGTCGAGGTTCCACAATACACTTAAATACTTCGATCACTAAAACTCCTTTTAAACTATATCATACAGCAGGGAAGTTGATAACAGATTTGTTTTTGTTCTTGTTGCAGGAAGACGAAAAGTGATTAATGAAAGAAGATCATTAAGAAAAATAAATATCATCTTTTTTTTTTTTAAAAAAATGGTGTATTCATTTGTATTCAAAAAAAAACTTTTGAACGTCGTTTCTCCTTAGACAACAACTACTCGCACGTCCAAGCTCCTACAGGGGCGTCTTCTCTATTTTCTAAACAACCATTTTTCGACTAGATTCTGTTTTTTAAGAGCAGGGGATTTTTAGATAAAACTTCATTAACAATCATTATCATTAACCTCTCTCATAATATTGGGAAAGGCTTTTCGTTGTGTGTGGTTTGTAGAATTTCGTTTTTGACTCTCTTTTACTATTCATTGTAATTATTATTCTTTAAAAGTTCATATATTTCAGTTTATTTGTTGCTTTAGTGCATGTATGTTCTTTTTATCCCAATATAACGGTGACGTGGGATCCTATTCACCACCGGTGTTTAAGTTTTCTGTAAGCTAAAAATAAATTTAAGTAAAACCTTCATACACCAAAAAGGGTGGCTTCAGAAAAGAATAAGGCCCGAGGATGATAATTGGTGGTAGAAATGAATAGACTGTTGAACGTTGTGGTTCCTCTTCGACAACAACTAGTCAAACATTAGAGCTCGTTACAAAGCTTTCTTCTCTATTTTTATAAAAACCATTTTTCAGTCACTATTGATTTTATTCACATTGAAATGTTGCGAGTTCTTAGGCTCAGTAAACCTTGTAACACACATTTCCTAAACTCCTTTTTGTTACTGGAAATGCTTTTCATTGCGCGTGTTGACTAGAATCTCGTTATTGACCCTCTTTTATCATTCATTGTTATTCTTTATTATTAGTTAATTTGTTGTTATAACTTAAGAATCATCTTGTTCATTCGTGACCTTGTACTCAAAACCGTGACGTAAAAAGGTTCACACTCAGCCTCTCTCCAACATCAATAGCACAGCATAAAAGGAAATTTAAGTCTTCGTTAAGTTTTACGAGAAGTGATATTGTATACCGCAGGACCCAACCTAGAGAGTACAGTTGGGGATCGAGGGGAGGGGCCTGGTCCATTATTTTTAGACCAGAATGAGGCTCGAGGATCAGAAAATGTTATTTTAGACTGGGTCC